TGATTTGGAATATTCAACTCAAGGTGACAAAGGCATGGCTGAGGGTTTCAGCAGCAGTAGAGTTAAACGATGTTACAGAAATGGAAGTGGGTGGTCTGAGTGATGGCCCGAATAATGTGGTTGGAAGCTCACCTCAGGGTCACATGTGACCCAGCCTATTGTGAATGATGGATTCAGTCTCAAGGTAACATAGCTTATAGCAAGGATTAAAGATGGTTTAGGTCTTCCCATTATCTAATAGGAGGAAATTTCTGGTTGTACAGTACTGGATATTGGATAAGTAGATTGATAGTTGAGCAACAGTTGGGAGTCAAGAGAGGTGGTGGTGAGGTAAAGCTGGGTGCCATCAGCATACATTGGAAAACTAAGACTGTGCTTTCAGCTGAAGTCACTGAGGAGCTACATGTAGGTGAGAAATAGATGGGGACCAATGATGAATCCTTGAGGAAATAACAGAAGGGGAGGTGTAAGGGGAGGATTAGAAGTCACTGCAAGTGCTTCTCTGGGCACGATTAAATAGATAAGAATGGAGCTGGGCGAGCGCAGTCCCACTCAGCTGAACAATAATAGAGACAATCAAGGTGGATTGTACAATGGTATCAAAGTCTGCCAACAGATTGAGAAGGATAAGGAAGGACAGTTTAACTTTGTCACGAGCTGCTTGGCACTGTACCAAGAGTGGAAACTTAATTAGAGGAATTCAAGCATGGAGTTCCTCGAAAGAGGAGAACAGACTTGGAAGGTGACCAGCATCTTCAAGGTCTATTCAACTGTTCTGTGTTTGAAATTGCATCGGGTTGATAACTTACGAATTTTTTCCTGACTGATCAGCAGTTAGGAGTCAGACCAGTCACAAAATCAATACGGTAGTTTACGTGGAATGTGAGAGAAAGTTTTATTACAAGATGGCAGGTGTTGGAGGATTCAAATCAACATCACCTTCAAAGTTCTCACCATCTTCACCAATTTCATGATTCTTATTTATGTCTAGGTCATCAAAATGGGGTCACTATGGGAAAAGTTTTGAAAAAATTGTCCTAATCTGTATCTAGTATCAGTATCTGACACCAGATATCTACCTTGATGTTAGATTTGATGCTGTGCCACAATGTAACACCGTCACATTGAGTCATTTCTGTATCGCCATTTTAAACCATAGTGAATTCACCAAAGGTATTTAGCTGAATAATATCAGACTTGTGGAAAATGGATATGTGAGCCTAACTGGACTTGGCTATGGATGAAATTCGCCATGATTGTACCAAAACTTAAAAGGGTTAAAAAGGATTGCATAAACTTGGCTTGTACTTCCAATTAACTAGAAGCCTTAAAAATGACAAACACATTTGGTAAGTTAGATGAAGGAAACTGGTGCCTTTAATGAAATCTATAGCCAATTAACTGGAAGACTTAAAAATGACAAACACATTTGGTAAGTTTGATGAAGGAAACTGGTGCCTTTGATGAATTCTAGAATGAGGGAGATTATCTTTAATTCAGAACAAGGCAATTTAATAGCAAAATCACGTTTTCATATAAAAGATAGTGAAAATGTGGAACACTGTTTCCTCAAATGATTGTGAATGTTGTGGTGATTTGGGAGAAGCGGGGGGTCAATTTTTAAATTTTCAAGGTAAGGATTGATAGGGTTTTGTTAGGGGCTGGGATTGCAGGTTAAGTTCAGAATATGGTGATCATTTAACTGAATGGCTGAACAAGTTTGAGGGACTGAATAGCATCGTGCTGTTCTTTTGTTCTTCTTCTGTTCATGGGTACAGGATCCCAGTTTGTGGAGTGAGATTATGTAGACCTGTTAATGTTTAAAGATAAACTGGCTGTAGGACAAACCTAATTCACAAGGATTTAGGTGCAGAGCCCGTAAGTGTCAATGGCAGATCGATGTGAGCAAAATAGTCACTTGGTTGATAAGATTTCCAATTGGACAACATTTGCCGAACAATCCCAAATCTACAAATTACTTGAACTACCAGTTTAAGATTATCAGTCAGGCTCACAATGCAGCTCATTCACACTTGTTAGAAGCAACATTTCTTATGCAAGATAAAGGCACGTGTTCAGGCATTGCGTCTTTTGAAAATTAAACAAAAGCTCCCTGGTGCATTTTCCAGGGTCACATCTGAACTAGACTTGCCAATCAACAATTTAAAATGACTTGATTACATTTTTAGGATTAAGAGAGGAATTGACAATGCTGATGCAGGCACATTGTTCACAAACATAAAGGGTTCAAATACCACAAGACAAGTTGGGAGCTAGGAGGGAGCATGGGGGAAGTTTTTGGCCTAAAGGAACAGCGTTATCATGAAGTATATTGAATCAGGAACTAGGATCAAGACAGCTTCAGGAACTTGAGGGAGGAGGATATTAAGATATTTTTTGAATGGGATGTGGGTATCTTTGTGCAATGGCAGTAATTGTTGACCATCTCTAATTGACCTTCAACTGAACAGCTTACTAGTCCATTTGAGAACACATTCAACCACGTCACTATGGGTCTAAAATCACATGTTGAACAGACTGGGTGAGGAAAGCAGATTTCCTTCCCTGGCGATCATTGATAGTTTCATGTCACCATCAGAGACTAGTTTCAGTTCCATTTGAATATAAATTCCACCAACTGTATTCAATAGGTTTAACCTGAAATTCCAGGACTACTAATGTAGTGACATTACCACCATGCCTCAAACTTCCCTAAAGGAGTGCAAAGGAATATGGTAGGAATAGGATGAGTGGTTTAAGTACGTCGTCTGTATAACCATTCAATGTGGGTAATTGATAAGTTGATTAACAAGGGTAAGATGATTATTCAATGTAATTTAATGTGTGGTGGTATATTCCGCTACTGAGGTCCAACTGTGTGCATCTTGTGTTCCTGTTGAAACCTCATAATATAATTATTGTGCTGTCTTGGATCAGTTAGACCATAATTATCTTGGACAATTGCCAGGTCAATTAGAGGTTGAGTACTTTTCTTCAAGAAAAATATGATTCCTAATTCAAAGTTCAGTTTGGTCCAGGGTGTTTTTTTTTGCATTAAAAAACATTAACAAACAACTGGTTTGCTTAAGTATTTTTTGAGTGCCGCAGAAGTGACTGACGTGTTTCAAAGTGAACCTTTTTCAGAAACTGAATATCTTTCTGTTTGGTATATAATTTTGCATCTAAGGGTTGGTTAGCTCACTTGGCTGGATGGCTGGTTTGCAGTAGTGATGCCAATAGTGTGGTGTGGTGACCCTCAGGTCTCTCTAATGGGAGAGCAATCCTATGTTTTGGTAAGACCATAGCAACATAACCTTATGATTTCAACAAATATGTGCCATACGCCACTCTTGTACCTGCTATAACTGTTTGATAAACACTGACAAGGCCAGAATTTGTTACCCATCCCTAACTGCCCTTGAACTGAATAACTTGCTAGGCCATTTCTGACGGCAGTTAGTTGCTGTGAGTCTGGAGTCAGGTGTAGGCCAGACCAGGTTGACTGGTTTCCTTCCATAAAGGACATTATGTAGCAGACAGGTTTTTACAACAATTGGTAATAGTTTTTGTAGTGATTGTAACAAGATCAGCCAACTTGACCTCATGAGTACCCTGACTGGGGCTATTAATCTAGTCCAGTCAAGGAGACCTGGCTGTCCATAAAAGGGTGAATATCAGGGATATTGGGCCCCAGAATACCATAGAGGCAGTGCTATTGTCAAAGACTATGCACTTGTAAATAAAGGGTGACTGGTGATTGGACGCTGGCTCTGAAGGCTTATTCCAGTTTTGTAGTCACAATTAGTGAGGCTAGCTTTCAAATCCAGATTTTTGTTCTATTGATTGAATTTAAATTCCACAACAGCCATGGTGGGATTTAAACCCCTGCCCCAGGGTGTTGGATTATTTGTTCAGCCACATTACCATTATCTCCTGCTGACTCACCCAATATACACACCTGAAACAGCAGGAGATCACAACTGTGCAGTAGGGGCAATGTGCCAAGGCATAAGTAACAGTTTAAAATAACAGATTTAAAAATAATTCTGAGAGAAGATCAAATTAGCTTCAGGATGTGACCAACAGAATTGCTTATCTACAGCAAATGAACTTTAATATGTCTTTAAAGGGACAGGCCACAGCTCTGCCTTAACAGCAGAATGTTGTATTGTCCATGAGAATGGTACAATACTCCTGTTATGATTGATCAGTTTAATCTCTCACCTCTCAGTAAGAAAGCTGAAGCCCTACTTGAAGAATTGGATGCACTATCTAAGTTGAAAGCCTCATGCAGTACTGTCAGAATGCCACATTGCCAGAGAGCTGTTTTATGGATAAGACGTCGCCCAAGGTGCCGTTGGCCCTCTCAGCTGGATGTAAAAGACCCACAACACTATTTCAAAGAAGATATGGGAGTGCACTTGAATCCTGGCCAATATTTATCCTCCAAACACAATTATTTTAAAACAATAGCTGAACTAGTCATGGTTAAGTTGCAGTTTATTGGATCTCACTCTGCACAAATTGGTTGCTGCTTTTTCTTACTGCATGATAATATGAAAACTTGGAACTTCAAAAGTACTAAACTACTGTAAAGTGCTTTGAGATGTCTAGAAGTCTTGCTATATAAATGCAATTTATTCATTCTGAAGTACACAGCAGTTATGGTTGCTGGCAAAGTCCCATTGGTAACATGCAATGGTTAAATTATTATGGCAAATGGCATTTGCTTTGTAGCATATTATGGGCTATTTTATAAGTATTCCTGGTATATCAAACTTGCAAAAACACTAATTGGGTGCTGTAGGCAAGGAGGGGACTCAAAGAGAGTGAGGATCAAAACATTTGTGGGGTCCTCAATCTGCGAGTTTAATGGGACTTTTTCCATGGGCCTGCATTTTCCACTGGAAGATAACCTCCTCCTAGTGCTGTTCCTTACAACAATGACAGCTAACATTTGGTGATGATGGTATGCTGCATTAACCCTTGTGTCTCCACAGTCAGGAACAAAAGCCGAGGAAGTTCAGACAGGTCTCAAGCTGCTCGCAGTTGCAGTCCAGAAGGCCCAGAACATGACTGTGAATAGCAACATGCTGTATCTAATAGAAAGGAGCTACAGTAATATCCGAAGCATCACGCAGATGGTGAGGAGTTTGAGAACCCCGGTAAGTGGTGTAAATTATTTAATGAGGTACAGGTTAAGTCAGAGAATTGAAGGTGGTGTTTTGGCACTCTTTATTGTGAAGTGGTCAGGTGGGGTACACTGGGGGTTGGGGTTGATGGTAGTCTTTGCTAGCATCCATTTTCCCTCTTCGCAGTTTTCATCCTTCCCCCAACCTGTATTCAAGACAATTAGCTCCTGCCTGCTGCAGTCCACAAGACAGTGGGTATGCCTTCTGTACTTTTCCTTAACTGGCCATGTGCCAGTGGGATGTTTAGCAACGGAGGCCATCACCTATGAGCCAATGTTGCCTTAATATTGTGTCCACTGATACAAAGCAAGCTGTGAATGCTTCAGATATTGATTGGTAATGGAAATTTTCCTGGCCTGAGGATATCGAGACTAACTGTAATGTCTGCCTCTAAGGGATCAGTCCTTTTTGGATATGGTAATGTGTAATGAGACAGGTTTAATACGTGATCACCAAGTAAAACATCCCCGAGGGATCGGTGACCATAACATGGGAGAATTCAGTTTGAGAGTGAGCAACTTGGGTTGGAAACAACAGTGCTAAACTTAAATAAGGGAAATGACATAGGAATGAGGACAGAATGGGCTGGACAACTGATAAAATAAATTTAGCAGAAAAGACAGTTGCATAACAATGACAGGCATTTAAGAAAATAGCTTATGAATCAAAACAAAGATAGATCCCAGTGACAAAGAAAGATTCTAGGAAGTGTATCACAAGGGATAAACCAATCATGGTTAACCAAGAAAGTTCAAACTGAAAGAAAAAATATACAATGTTGCAAAGATTAGTGAAACAGATTATTAGAAAAGTTTAACAGCTAGCAAAAGATGAATAAGAAACAAATAAACAGGGAAAAAAATAAACTGAAGGAAAACTAGCAAAGTATAAAAATAGTCAGTAAGAGCTTGGAATGAGTACATCCACTTGATTGGAATTGCAAATTCCCCTTCCCATCCTGACTTGAAAATACATTGCAGTTCTATCATTGTACTGAGTCAAAAGCATGGGACTCCCTACCCAACTACATTGTGGATGCACCTGTAGCAAGTAGACTGTAGTGGTTCAAGACGGCAGCTCACTATCACCTTCTCAAGGGCAACTAAACATGGGCAATAAATACTACCTCAGCCAGTGATGAGGCCAATAATTTGGATGTGATGGGTTGTATCCTTGGATTTTAAAGGAAGTGGTGACTGAGATAGCAAATGCGCTGGTAGTAGTCTTCCAGGAATCCTTACATTTCTGGAAAACTCCTAGAAGTTTGAAAAACTGGCAATGTAACACACTTATTCAAAAAGCGTGGCAGGCCAGTTAGATTAACAGTTGTTGTTGAGAAAATGAGAGAGTCAATTATGTAGGATGTAACAGGACTTTTGAAAATACAGAATATATTATCAAATGAGTCAATGTGGCTTCATGAAGGGGAAATCGTGTCTGACAAATTTGCTTTTGAGGAAGTAACAAGTGGCACAGATAAAAGGGAACCAGCAGATGTAGCATATTTGGATTTCAAAAGGGCATTTTATAAGGTACCACATATAAGGCTACTAAATGAAACACACACCCATGTGTTTTGGGGTAATATTTTAGCATGGATAAATGATTGGCTAACCGATAAAAGGAAGTTGGGATAAGGAAGGATTTTCACAATAACTAATAGAGTGCCACACTGATCAGTGCTGGGGCCACAATTATTTGCAATATATATTCATGACTTAGATAACAAAAGTGAGTGTGCTACTGCCAAGTTTTCAGATGGCCTAAAAATACATGGGAAGGCAAGTAGTAAGGACGACACAAAGAGTCTACAAAGGGATATGTATAGATTGAGTGAGTGGGTGACAGACTGGCAGGTGGAATAATAAATGGGAAAATGTGTGGTCATACAGTATGGTTTGATGATTAGAAAAGCTGAATATTATTTAAATGGGAGAAGACTGCCGAAAGCTGCTGCATAAAGGGATTTTGGGGTCTTCGTGCATGAATCACAAAAAGCCAGTCTACAAATTCAGTAGATAACAGGAAAGCCTGTTTGCCTTTATTTCAAAGGCAATGGAGTATAAAAATTGGGAGGTCTTGCTAAAACTATGCAAGACACTCATCAGACCCCATCTAGAATACTATGAATAGTTATGGTCCTCTTAATGAAGGAAAGATATACTGGCGCCCAAAGAAGGTCCACTAGGTTGATAGAGTATAGAGGGATTTTCTTATGAGGAGAGGCAACTTTGTTAAAACATATAAGATGCTTAGGGGCCTTGACAAAGTAGATTCTGAGAAGTTGTTTCTCTTTGTGGAGAGTTGAGTACCAGAAGGCATCATCTCAGAGCAAAGGGTCATCAACTTCAGACTAAGTTGGGAGGAATTTCTTTTGTCAAAGGGTAGTGAAACTGTGGAATTCTTTACTGCAGAGGGCTATCAGTGCTGGGTTATTAAGTATTTTCAAGACTCAGATAGACAAAGTTTTAATCAGTAAGAGAATCAAGGGTTATTGGGAAAAGGCCAGGAAAATGGAGTTGAGGAGTATTTCATTTGATTTGATTTGATTTATTTTTGTCACATACCTAGGTACAGTGAAAGGTTTTGTTTTGTGTGCAGTACAGGTAGATCATACCATACAAAGTGCATTAGGGTAATAGTACAAGAATGAAGAATACAATTTTATGGCTGTGAAGAAGGTGCACAAAGAGCAATGCACTTGCCCCTACACTTGTTTTTTTAAAAAAGAGAAAATCATTGCTGACCCCAACAATATAAGGGGGCTGAATTAACATAAAGAGTAATACAGTGTGAAGTACAGTACATTGATTAGGAGGAGATACTGGGCCTGACCATGAGAGGGAGCTGCACTTACATGAGTTGAGATGCAGATAATACACCAGGCCCTTGGTTGGGTGGGAGCTGCTGGTCTCAATATCAGAAAAGCTGAAAAAACACATGACGTTAAAAGGAATAGAAAACATGTAGATGGAGTTAGATAGAAGGAGGTTTGTTTACAGCCCAATCTGATAAAGGGTCTAGGCCCGAAACGTCAGCCTTTCTGCTCCTATGATGCTGCTTACCTTGCTGTGTTCATCCAGCTCTGCACCTTGTTGTTTTGGGCTGAATAGTTTTGCTGAAAATATTTTAACATCAGTAATTGCTTGGTGATACAGAACTTAAAAGTCAAAGTTTTATGTGGTTTATTCCTGATGAATAGCTAATTGTAGGAAAGCAGCTTGAAAAGAGATTGCTGATTAGTTGGACCATGATTGGCATGGAGATGAAGCAGGACCTGCTAACTCTTTTATAGTTAACTGATTAAATTCAAACAATGCTAGTTATCTGAGTAAGAGATTCCTTAGGGAACAGTGACCATGACATGATAGAATTCAGTTTGAGAGTAAGAAACATGGATTGGTAATGAAAATGTGAAACTTAAGTAAAGGTAATTAAACACAGATAAGGGCTGAGTTGCCTAAGTGGAATGGGAAAAGGAGGACAAACAGTTGAACAATGGCAGAAATTTAAAACAGTGCATGGAACAAGCTGCCAGAGGAAGTGGTGGAGACAGGTACAGTTACAATATTTAAAAGGCATCTGGATGGGTGTATGAATAGGAAGGATTTATGGGGTTATGTGCCGAATGTTGGTAAATGGGACGAGGTCAGATTGGGATGTCTGGTTGGTGCAGACATGTTGGATTGAAGGGTCTGTTTCCATGTTGTATGGCTCAATGACCCTGATTTGGTGAGGGATGATTCCCTTGGCAACACCTTGACCAGTGTGATGAATGGTTCAATGGTTTGAAAGATCTTTGTAGAATTGGTGGATCTCAGCTCAATTCTGGTAATGCAGTAACACGTGGCTTCTGGGCTGGAAAGCTGCAGCATGATACAACACACAAGGGTACCATTGGACCACTGTGTCTATGCCATCTCTTCGTAGGACCAAAAGTTGACTAAAAAGTTTCTGTTCCTAGAGAGTGTTCATTTCTGGGAACTGAACATGAAAAGGAATAGGCTCCGCTGTAATGAGCTCATTCATTTTGGAACTCACCATCTAGATTCGCATGTGCTGAACTACAGGAAGGCTCCTTCCACAGGGCTTTCCAAACCCTAGAGGGATCTTGTGATATGGTGGGTAGTGCTCCTAACTCTGGGCCAGAAGTATTGCTTCAGGTGCCACCACAGGATTTGATGGTCACAGATGATGCATTGCAATTTGGCCAAACAGGTTGATTTATCAATATGCAAATCTTTCTGATGACAGGTACTAAGAGCAGGAGAGTTTCCTTGTAAGCCAGAAACATGTAGTAATGCAGCCTGCCACATAAAAAATCTCCATGCACAGGTTCATGCAGTAACAGGGTGTATCCAAGAGACTGTTGCACACACTGCATCGAAAAACAAGGGCAGCAAATGCACACCATCCTGATGTGCATCTGTCTCACTATTCCTTCTCTGTTGCTGGGTCAAAATCCTGGACCTCCCTTCATAACAATGCTGTAGGGTGTCCCCGCACAACATGAACTACAGTGGTTCAAGTGGGTGGCTCACCACCATAATTAGGGATGGACAATAAAGTCTGGCCTCACCAGTAATGCCCATCTCCCAGGAATGCATGAAAAGATGGACCCTTCGATGAGGTAAAGGACGGTAAACAGTCACATGGGACAAGATCATAGTCAGAGTCACACCTTCAGAGGAGGAGAAGGAGAGACACTTTGCAAAAATAGAATGCTATTTGTAGGAAGTTGCTAAGTAGATAATGCAACACAGCCAGTTCAGTACCAAGAGTGGTATAGTGAATGACTAGAGTGTGAGCAGTTAGCGTGTCTCACAAGCAAGACAGCTGATTAAGCTGAATAGTTAATATGGCAACAAGGTATACAGCTGGATGAACACAGCAGGCCAAGCAGCATCAGAGGAGCAGGAAAGCTGATGTTTCGGGTCTAGACCCTTCTTCAGAAAGCTGCTTGGCCTGCTGTGTTCATCCAGCTCTACACCTTGTTGTGTCAGATTCTCCAGCATCGGCAGTTCCTACTATCTCTAGTTAATACGGCATGCAGGTTAGCTGAGGAGTTAGTGACTGCATTTATGCCAATGATAATTTAACTCTTTCTGTTGCTAGACTCAGTCACTGCTCCATGTTTTCAAAACTCACTCTTTAAACAAAAAACATTTACAATGTCTAAACTGAACAAATTGACAATGATTTTGAATACTTTGGTTGCTGAAGAATTCTGACGTGAACATTACAGAAGGGTGACTAGTGACTGCCAAGTGGTAGTGTTTTAAGTTTTTCCGACAGGGTCGTCTTCCTACCTCAACCCCCATCCCCGCCAAGTCCAAGTCTTACTTCATTCTTCAGTTTATTTCAGTGACCCTGTTTTATCCTCTTCCAATAAAGGGCTTGTTTTTTTCCCATTGACGCCTACAGTTGAACCCAGCAGCAACCTTCAAATATTGACGCTGGAGAAAAGATAGGGGAATAAATAAAAATAATGAGCTACACTTCTGCTTTCTGTCACGTAACCTTTCCTGTCACTTCCTCATTCCCCATGCTTGGAGCCACAGGATATTAACCTTGGGATACAATCAACAATTTACTGGATGGCTAGCAGCTTTCCATGTATAGGATTAGCCTTCCTGGAATAGGATTTCTGGAGGGCTGGGTATAGGTTGGAAAGCTCAAGCACAGTTACATCGTCAGTTTCAAACTTTTTATTATATTAATTGGTAAAAGGATAAATGATATTATCACATGTACATCTCTGTATATATATATCTCTTTTCAGTCATATGAGTCTCTTTTTATCTCTCCTTCCCTCCCCAACTTAGAGCTTGGCTCCTTTAGTAGTACACTCCCCTTGAGATCAAATGTTTGTTGATTCATGGTGTTTATTTACTGAGGAACAGTTCTGAGGAAGGGTCACCGGACTCGAAATGTTAACTCTGTTTTTTCCTTCACAGATGCTGCCAGACCTGTTGGGCTTTTCCAGCAACTTTGTTTTTGTTCCTGATTTACAGCATCTGCAGTTCTTTCAGTTTTATTTATGTACATTAAACAAAATACTGCAGATGCTGGAATCTAAAACAAAAGAAGAAACTGCTGGAGAGTCTCAGCAAGTCTGGCAACATCTGTGGAGACAGAAACAATTAATGTTCAAGTCCAATATGATTCTTCTTCAGAACTGAAAGGAGTTGGAAATTTTTTCACACTTTTGACAGAGGCAAAAGAGGGGCGTGGGGAACAGATGGTGTAGAGGCCTAGTGCAAAAGGCAAAGGGTTTGTTAATGATGATAAAAGAGACAAAGCTTTTCTGTCCTGGCCCTGTTGCAGTGTTCTAACGAAGCACAACAGAAAGTTGAGGAACAACTCCTCATTTTCCACTTAAGCACTTTACAGCCGCTAAGGCTCAATCAAAGCTTGACTGTTCTCTATTTTTCTTAAATCCTACTTCCAGTCTTGTCTTGTTTACTTTTCTCTCTGTAAAAGAGAGCCATTCTCTCCCTTTAACGCTTTAATTTACACGCATTTTACATCTCTTTTGCTCTTCCACAACCATTAGCAACTCCTTTATCTTATGCACTGGGCATCCAAGAAGGGTAATACCCGATACATTGACTTCTCCTTTCCTCTAGATGCTGCCTCACTTGCTGTCTTCTTCCAGCCTCCTGTTTGTCTACCTTGAATTCTAGCATCTGCAGTTTTTTTTGTCTCTAATCCATACCATCTGTTCCCTTTGCCCTCCAATTTCTGACTACTTTCAGTTCTGAAGGATAGTCATACTAGACTCAAAACATTAACTCTGTTTTCCCCTGCACAGATGCTGTGTCCATGCAAACAGTACAGCAATGATCCTAGAACTACAAATTTTGCCAGGTCTGAGGCAGTGATGCCACCCCACCCAACAGCCATGCCTCCAACAGCTCCACACTCTCACATTTTCTTCACCCAATCCCCCTCCCCCCACTCACACTCCACCTCTGGCTATTGCAGGTCCTTCTTCTACTTCTACTCTCTCAGTTCGTGTTGCGGGGTCATGACAATCTTCAACTTTTGAAATGGGAGCCACAGTCATAAAAATGTTTGGAAAGCACTGTAATACAACATCTACTGCAGTTATCCGAATATGGGTGGTGAATCTCTCTACCAGTCAGCCTTTGTCTGCCTACCCCAACTCAACCTGCCCCTATAGGGCCACCACATTCTCTCTCCAACACTGGTGTAATGATTCTGAGGATTGAGAAAATGGAAAGGTAGCTTTGGGTTGGATCAAATTACCCAACTATCTTCATTCCTTAGACCATTAGAAATGGTGTCTCCTTCTTCCAGAGCCACTCCCAAAGTTCAAAATACTTCTCGAATGAATGAAACTTCAAAGCCAACTTTGTGGGATTGGAGGATTAGTGAACTAGATGGATATTTACAACAAGCCAGGGTCTCATTCATAGTTCCCATTGCAATAAGCTTTCAATTCCAAAATATATTAATTGGATTTAAATTCTAACAGATGCTATGGTGGAATTTGAACCTTTGTGCCCAAAGCATTGGCCAGGTGTCTGGATCACTAATCCAGTAACATTGCCTCTATGGCACCAGGACCCTGACCTGAGCGCCCTAGAGCCCAGAACCCTAGTTACTGGATTCTGATGTACCTTCCCATCTCAGGCTCTACAGCACCACCTTCTGCCATGATTTCAAGTTGTTATTGTGAGACTTCTAAACAAAATATCATGGGATGTTTCTAAGAGATGTGCTGACATTTACGGGAATGCAGAGTTCATGAAGCATGGAGGCGAGGAGGAACTTATCCGAGATGGTTAGCACTGCTGCCTCACGTTAGTCATGTTGCTGTAGGTCTGGAGTCACATAAAGGCCATTCCAGGGAAGAGCAGCAGGTTTTTTACAGCAGCCCGAGAGTCTCAGTCACTGACTGATACTAACTTTTTATTCCAGCTGTCAAGGTGGGATTTGAACACGTCTCAGGATCATTAGTCCATGCAACTGGATTATCATCCTTACAAGGCTCAACAGAGTAGATGCAAAAAGGATATTTCCCATGACTGAAGAGCCCAGAACAGGGGGACACATTCAAAGATTAAGGGTTGGGCCATTTCACAGTGAGGAATTTCTTCACTCAGATGATGGCAAAATCTTTGAAATTCTCTACCCCAGAGGGCTGTGGAGGCTTGGTTATTGATTATGTTCAAGACAAGAGATCATTAGATTGCTAGATCTTCAAAGATGTCATGAATTATGGGAATAATGCACAAAAATGGCTTTGAGGTAAAGGATTTTGTTGAAAGGCAGAGTGTGTTAGAGGGGCCAAACACACCACTCCTGGTGTTATGTCCATAAATTCCTACGTAACACAGCCACTCTATTATCATTAGGAACATAGGAACACAGATGTAGACCATTCAGCCCATCAAGCCTGCCCCACTATTAAATATGATCGTGGCTGATTGAACACTGCAAAATGCTTTTTAGTGCCCTTATCCCCACAACCCCCCTGTATGCCAATCTAAAGTAGAAATCTACCAATCTCTACTTTTAGCATACTGAAAGACTGGGCTTCCTCTGTGCTAGAGAATTCCAAAGCTTCACAACCTTCTGAGTATAAAAACCTCTTCATCTAAGACCTAAATGCAATTCCCCTATTTTTAAATTGTGTCCCCTGGGGAAACCATCATACCTACATCTACCCTGTCTATCACCTCTCATTCTTTGCAACTTTTGCGAAAACAGGCCCAGTTTGTTCAATCACTCTTTGTAGGGCACTCCCTGTCAATCTGGGAACATGTCTGGTGAATCTTCATCGCATTCCCTCTGTGGCAAAAGTATCTTTCCTGAGACAAGGAGACCAAAACTGCTAACAGCGCTCCAAGGTGCAGTCTGACCAATACAATAGAAGTAAGATGTCATTACTCCTGTACTCATTTCCTCCTTCAATAAAGGCTGACATTTCATTAGCCCTCCTAACCCTTGAAAGGCAGGTTCATACTGTGGGTGTGTATAGGAACTAGATTCAGACTACTCAAAATGTAATTGCTGCAGACACCTAGCTGATAGGCAGGGGAGACATATATTTATCCCACGGATAGAGCGATAGGCCCTAGGGATCTTTTCCCATCCATCCTTCCCTAAGTCTCAGTATGAGTCAGCTTTTAACCTAGCTCATTGAGATTAAAGGCTCCCCAGTGCATACCTACACAGTGCTTTCTCTTCCTGCTGGTTGGTTTTGTTATATCTAAAACAAGTCGTCTTTTGCTTTTGTGCAGGATATCCTAAATCGAGAACGGGAACTGCAGACCACTTTTAACACGAGAACACTGAGAACCATTTTTCACGCATATTTAAATTTCCTACAAGGTAAAGTCAGACTGTTTTTCCTTGACACAGAAGCTTGCAATCTGGCAACAAGCTGACAGTCCCAGCTGAACACCAGCAGACTCTGAAGGAGCTTCTGAAGCAGATTATAAGCTGTAACCTTTGCATTCTAAGCATAACACTGTATAGCACCAAAAAGGAGCGTAGAGAGAAGGAACATCGATAAAAGGGTAAAGAAGAAGATGGCCTGGTTCATTTGGAATATAATGTTCGAAAGAGGAGCTGAATGTCCAACGGTATACTGTCCAGCCACGGAGACTGTGGTAACCGGAATATAAGCACTCTCAAATTTTTGAACTCGAGAGAGACAAAGAGAAAATACCACACCCATGGAGCCATTTTGAATTTGACAGATCTACAGAAGAAAGTGTCTGTTTATCGATGGTGTTGCTCACTGTTGAGGGCATTGTTTCACAGAGTACTGTGCAGACAGGACACATGGGTTTCATGTCTTTTGTACCTTTTAAGCTCTATTACACCTCAGATCTTTGTTATTGCTTAACTTGTGAACTAAAGTTCACTGGTAACCTGTTAGAAGTATTGTATAAATGATGAGAACTTGATTGAATGTTTCATTGAATTGTGTGGGAAGAAGGTGACAGAAAAGTTTAATACTATTGCTGAGTCACTGTAGATCAGCTTAATGTTTATTAAAATATTATATCTATTTAAACATATTTATTTGTCATGTACAGCCTGTCAGCCTGAGTTCTAACTGTATAACTTGTGACTTTTTTATTGTGAGCATGCATTTTTTCCCTCCATTCTTCTGCACCTATCACTGTGTCATTGGTGTGCTGGTTTCCACAATCAAACTCTTTCAAAATCTGAAATGTGATTGTGGTGTTCAGCTACTCCTTTAAGAACATTGCCCCAGCTTTCATTGTATGGATGAAATCAGCTGTGCGGTCAAGGCTAATGGGTAGTTCAAACAGGAAAGGTTGAAAGCACAAAGCAGGTCGGGCAGCATCAAAGCTTTATCTGTTTTCAGTTCATATTTCCACCATTTGCAGTACTGTTCATTTTTCTCTAAGTGGTACCTGATTCATTGACTCTGAGGGTTGTGATTTCATAGCCCCATTCCAAGCCTGGAGCACCTAAACCAGGCTGACATTCAGTGCCATCTATCGCTAGACTGCCAACGCTAAACTGAGGCTTCTATTGCTTTGACAGATGGACACAAAGAGATGCCCTGGCACAATACAAAGAACAATCCTAATTACTCTTTAACTGCGTGGCTTGCTGGTCATTTCAGAGGGTAATTAAGAGTAACCTAATTGCTGTGGGTTTGGAGTCAGGCGATTGTTGAAAGTGACAGGACAGGTTGATAGTGCAGGTAACATTGACAGAGGTTTCACGGACTAATAGGAAACAGAGTTGGGGTAAGGGGTGTGTTTTCAGGATGGCAACCTGTAGAATGCCACAGAGATTAGTCCTGGGGCCACAATTATTTACAATTTATATTAATGATTTGGATGAGGGAAGTGAATGTGCTGTAGCCGGGTTTTCAGATGATGCAAAAACAGGTGGAAAGGCAAGTACTGAAGATAATACGAAGAGTCTGCAGAGGGATATAGGCAGGTTAAACAAGTGGGAAAAGTCTTGGCAAACAAAATAACATGGGAAAATGTGAGCTTATGAACTTTGGCAGGACAAACAGAGGAGCCAAATATTATTTGAATGGAGAAAGACTGCAGAAAGCTACAGCATGGAAGCACTTGAGAATCCTTATGCATAAATTTCAAAAGCTAGCATACAAGTTCAGAAGATAACAGGAAGGGAAGTGGAATGTTGGCCTTTATTTCAAAGGGAATCGAGTATAAAAATAGGGAATTCTTCCTAAAACTATACAAGGCACTAGTTAGACCACACTTAGAATACTATCAACATATCTAAGAAAAGATATACTGTCACTGGAGGCAGTCCAGAGAAGGTTCACTAGGTCCCAGATTGAAGGGACTATCCTATGAGGAGAGGTTGAGGAAGGTAGGCATGTATTCAATGGAGTTGATAAGAATGGGAGGCAATCTTTTTGAAACATATGAGATTCTTGACAGGGTAAATGCTGAGAGGATATTTCTCCTCGTGGGAGAGTGTAGGACCAGAGGCATAATCTCAGAATAAGGGGTTGCCAATTTAGAAGAAATTTCTCCTCATTTCGGTCCTGTCACAAGGTTGACAATCTGTGGAAGTCTTTACCACTGAGGGCTGTAGAGGCTCAACCGTTAAGTGTATTCAAGGCTAAGATAGTCAGATTTTTGATTAGTAAGGGAATCAAGAATTATGGGGAAGGGAAAAAGGCAAGAAAGTGGAGTTGAGGATTATCAGATCAGCCATGATGCCATTGAATGGGGGAGCAGACTCGATGGGTCAAATGGCCTACTTCTGCTCCTATATCTTATTATCTTGTAAGCCAAAAAGGATCAATAAGAGAACAAAAGCCATGAAGAACCTGTACAATAAACTGGTTCGGCCTCAATTGGAGTACTGCATCTGGTTATAGGAAGGATATGAGCACTAGTAACAGAGAGGAGTTAGAAAATGGTTCCACGGATGAGGGACTGCGGTTACTTGGAAGACTGGAGACATGTTGACTGTTTTAGTAAAGCAGAGGGTTGAGAGAAGACTCATTGGAGAGATGCAAAAACATGAGGGTTCTAGACAGAGTAGATAGGGAGAAGCCCTTCAGAATGGGGAATAATCCTAGAATTAGAGGGAACAGATTTCAGATAAATGCGAAAAGACATAAAGGCAACTGAGGTAAACACTTCTCATGCAGTGAATCATTAGATCTGGAATGCGCTGCCTGAAAGTGTGGCACAAGACAGTTTAATCAAGGCTTTTAATAGGACTAGAATTATTGTCCCAAAGAAAAATATTGCAGGGCTACAGGAAGAAGGCAAGGGAGTGTCCCTAAGTGAGTCGCTCTTTCAGAGAGCCAGTATGTGCTTAACAAGCCAAAAGGCCTCCCTTTGCGCTAAACTATGTTTTTAAAAATAACTCATCAAAAACCATCTAATCATTCAGTGACTTAACGTGTTGGCTATCCTCTTGACTCTAGCCAAGTGTTTTCTCTTTTAAGTACACAGGTTAGGTTTGCTCAGAGTGAGAATGAGCTGAACAGTATTGGCAGTAATGAACATAGTGAGCTGATCAGAATGGGCAGCGCCTCCAGAGAATAGGCTAGGCTTTCAGGGTTTGACTGGCACAGTGTCTCCCTACACATACAGTTCTCGATTCAAGCATAGTTAGGATTTCAGCCACAGTTGATTTGTTGTGTGAATGCCATCTGTTTTGGAAAGCTATCACAAAGCAACAACTGCCCATGGAACTGTGTACTGTGACAGAAATGGTGCTACCAATGACATTCATTTTATATTTGTTCTAAATCAAAGTTACCACAATGTCCCTAATCTTGTTGCCTCTCTTCAGTATATTTTGTTCCTGGATATTTGCCTTTCCTGCAGGAAATTACCTGAATTTTAATCTGCACCCATTGCACTGGTACTAGAAAGATCCATAGCTTGGCAAACTGGCACAGGCTAGTACTAGAACACCAATCCAACATCATTTCAAAATGCTTTCAAATGTAAATAAATAAGTCTATACCAACTGTTAGAATTGTTGTTGATCCTGTGTCTTTTTATCCAGTGGTTGGGCAATTTGTGACCTTTGCACTGCAGGTCGTTGTAGCCCTAGAAATGTTTGCTCAGTGTGTCAGCTTCATTTGAATTTCAATTCAAGGCTGAGTTAGACAATTTGGCTTACAAGGGTGTTACAGATTATGGGGTACAGGCTGAAAAGGGGAGTTAAGGCCACATCACATCAGCTGTGATCTAATTAAACAGTAGAGCAGTCTCAATGGGCCCAGTAGTCTAATGCACCTATTTTTACATTCCATAGAATGCCCATTACCATTAACCCCTTTCCCCTATCACTCAATGGGTGGGTTTGACACATGGTATGGCTTGGAGCTGGCAGCTCAGTACAGTCAGTTTATTTGCCAGACCTGCGCTGCATCACCTAATCTTGGCCATTGTTGAGTGCTGCAAATGGCCAGTGAGGAGGAATAATGAGCAACTTGCCCATTTTAAAAATTCTTTCTTGGGCTGTGAGTGTCACTAGTAAGAATAGCATTTGTCGCTAATCCTTAAATTACCCAAGTTGCTTTTAGGCCATTTCAGCAGGCAGCTAAGAATCGACTACATTTAAGTGGATCTGGACTCACATATTGGTCAGACTGGGTAAGGATGGAAGATTTCCTTTCCTATTAGATATTTGTGAAGCAGGTGGGTTTTTATGACAATAAATAGTCACTGTTACTAAAACTAGCTTTCAATTCCAGACTTAAGTTCCATCAGCTGCCAAAGCTTCATCCTCAGATAATTAGTCTGGGTCTCTGGATTACCAGTCCAGCAACGTTGCCACTACATCACTAACCCTGCTCTCTTGCAGCACAGTGTAAAAACAATTTTCAGTTCCAGCAGGACAATCCCATTTTGGCCATTCCCCTGTTGCTAATCTCTATATCTCAGATGTGGAATTCACATGTCCTACAAAGTCCAACCAGAACATTTTGTGCCATTGACTTAGGTGACCTTAGTTAGCAAATCAGTGCTAAAGGACGTTGTTGCAAAGTTCGCATGTGTGGGCTATGTTGGGAAAGCTAGGAAGCCCCTCACTGTAAATAAAAGATTAACTAGTCATTGAACATTACTGGAAATGAGACCCCAGTTTACTGTTTCTGTGGATGTCAAATAATGATGAAGTAGTTGGATTGGTAACAGGCCAACAGACAAAAGCTCAGGCTAATCAACAGATATATTCTCATAATTTGGACTCAAGCACTTAAATTGAGGATGTTCAAACTATGACCTGCTGATCTCATAGCATTTCAGATCTATTTATACTTATGTTGCTTAACTGGTGATTTCACTGTTTGTAATTAATGTGGCTTTTTTGTTCATTTGTGAGAGATAGGTGTCACTGGCAAGGCCAATATTTACCACTCATTCCTAATTACTCCTTGTGAAGGTGATGGTGTTTTCTTTAATAACTACAGTCCGTGCGGTTTAGGTATGTCCAACAGTGGTCAGGGAGGTAGTTACAAAATTTTGACCCAGCAACAATGAAGAAACAGTCATATAGTTCAGAGTCAGAATGGTGAGTATATTGGAGCTGGTGTTCCCATGTATCTGCTGCTCTTGTCCTTCTAGATGGTAATGGTTGTGGGTTTGGAAGGTGTTGTTGAAAGAGCCTTGTGAGTTGCTGTAGTGCATCTGGTAGATAGTACATTGTCTGGGAACTTGGTTTAGCTCAGTTGGTTGGATAGCTGGTTTGTAACGTAGAGTGACACTGACTACATGGGTTCAGTTCCTGGCTGAGGTTACCATAAAGGATTCCACTTCTCTACCTCTCCCCTTGCCTGAGGCATAGTAACCCTTCAGTCACTCTCTAAAGACAGCAGCCCTATGGTCTGGTAAGACTATAACAACTTTATATTTTAGATGGTACACATTGTTGGCAATGTGCCTCAAAGGTGAAGAGAGTGAATGGTTAAGGTATTGCATTGGTGCCAATCAAATAGGCTGCTTTGATCCTGATGATGTCAAGCTTCTTGAATATTGTTAGAA